ACCAGGGATATTCCTCTGTCTGACCTTGTCCATAGGGTTTTTTTTTTATTGTACCTATCACCTCTGCAAAAAGAGTCTCTGAGTTAGTGGCCTTATTATGTAAGAATCCCTCTTTAGTGTTGCACATTGACAAAGTTGTTGTGAGACCCATGGCTTCCTTCCTCCCAATGATGGCCTATGCCATTATTCTTAATCAGGATATTATCCTTCCTTCTTCATGTCTGGGTCCGAGACATCCTATGGAATTTTCTCTCACTCTATCTGGACATGGTCCACGCTTTGAAAAGTTACCTCTCAGTTACTACCACTTTCAGGAAATCAAATTCCCTCTTTATGCTCCCTGAACATTGCTTCAAGGGTCTTCCTGCCTCTCACCCCACCATTGCTAGGTTGATCAAACAAGTTATTGTTGCATCCCATAGTCTGAAGGATAAGGGTTCCTTTTTTCCGTTTTAGGGAACATTCTACCAGATCTGTCTGTGCTTCATGGGCTTTTCAGCATCAGGCATCCCATTCCCAAATTTGCAGAGCTTCCACCCAGGCTTCTGTTCACTCATTTGTTAAGTTTTACCAGGGAGATGTTTAGGCCTCCTTTGATGCTAGTTTCTGCTGTCTGAGTTTATGGAGCTCTTGCTGACCTGTTTGTTCTGTTGCCATTGTTTGCTGTGTTATCCACCTCTCAGTTTGACTGCAGTTGGTCCTCCCTACCACTACCTTGTCCACTAAGTTGTCTCTGGCATTACTCAAAAATCTTCCACTTATGTGGTAGGCACAATGTCCAAATCCTCCAGAGTGCATTGCAGGTGGTTAAGCATTTCACTGCAAGCCAGATGCGTTGTAATTTGAAAACATCAACAGTGAAAAAAAGCTCCCTACGCACTGTTGTGCTTATCTGAAGGCCACACGAAGTTTGGCTATTGACTCTGCAGACAGTTGGCGACTCCTGCGCACTGTGAGCTTCAGTATGCACTGACCCACTCTGTCATTTTACGGGGCCTACAACTTCGTGGCTGACTTGCTGTTGTTCCCAGTTGCTTCCACTTTGTTATAATACCACTAACAGATGGCCGTGGAATATTTAGTAGCAAGGAAATTTCATGGATGGACATATTGCACGAGTGGCAACCTATCACGGTACCACACTTGAATTCACTGAGCTCCTGAGAGCGACCCATTCTTTCACAAATGTTTGTAGAAGCAGTCTGCATGCCTAGGTGCTTGATTGTATACACCTGTGGCCATGGAGGGGATTGGAACACCTGAATCCAATGATTTGGTGGGGTGTCCCAATACTTTTGGTAATATAGTGTATATTGCAGGGTATTGTGTCACCATTATGGTGTTTGAGAATAATCTGGGATAAACTGCAGATTTCCTGTAATGGTAGCAAGTATGAGGCTTGTTAAATGTGCGGTTAATGTGACAGTTGTAACGCGCATACTGGCATATGCTCATTTATCATTCATAGCTGTGTCTTCACCAACAGGCCTTGACCATAGCGTGTCAGACAGCTAGGGAGAGGGGGGCAAGGGGCCAGTGCCGTGTGTTTGTTTTAATTTTGTCCTCAGATTACGTGGCTCCCCGGATGTTATTGTCCTGTCAGATTCATTACCACCATTGTTCAGAAGTTGGCTAGTTCCTTGCCGAAACCACTAAATTGTCGGAAATTGTGAGTGTCAGGCCGTTAATCAGTCATGATTCACTGTTTTTTTTTTTTTCTCTTTCCCATACTACATTAAGAATTTCCTAGCTGACCTTCGTGGAAGTGGTTTTATTTGAAAGTTTGATTTCCTTAGAATCCTTTCATGATTGTGTGCTAGAAACATGCAAAGATGTCATTTCACCTAGACACCAGCCAGAATGAAAATTAACCCCCTACCCTTCCCTACCCTACCTTGACCTGCCGACGTTTTTAAAGGCATAATTTGGAAACAGTGAATTTTTTCCTACAGCGGCTTGTGCTGTAAGCTCACCTTTAATTTGGTCATGGGATCTTTGCTGAAGGGGTAGATCAGAGTTAAGACAGAGCCTCCAATTGCTGATTGGCTAGCTCATCATAAACATCACTGCCTTATTCCCCGTCCGCTATGATCACATGGCCAGTGCACCAGAAATTCCTCAAACACTCATGTAATGATTTTGGGAAGTATGGACAGACATCCTCTTTACCCTAGGTTCACACCTAAGTGTTTTCCACAAACGCACTACAGTCCATTTAACATGATTTCCTATGGGACACATTCAAATCTCTGTGTTTTCATCCAGTGAGTTTTTTGGAAAAGGTCAGGGACTTTTTTAAACGCAAAAAGTTGCATTTTTGGTTCTATAGACTTCAATGGAAATGCTGCAGAAAATCGTGCATTTTTTATGCATTTTACGTTTTAATCTGCCTACCAACAGGAAAAAAAAATTAAAAATGTAAAAACCGTTAAAAGCTGCAAAAGCACGTCAAAAACGCAAAACGGATTGCAAAAAGCACTGCAGTAATGGATCAAACGCAAACTGCATAGGTGTGAACCTAGCCTTAAAGAGGACCTCCCCCCCCCCTTAAATTTTTTTTCCACTGGGTTATTCACAAAAACATATAAGCCCAGTGATGCAAAGGAGTTCTGTAGGGATCTGCGCCCGGTCCCACCCTGCTATCTTCTTCTCTGACATAAGGGGTTCTTGCAGCTGGCCCCCCTGATGATGCATAAGCTCTGTGGTGCATTTTTAGGGTGCCAGTTGCAAACAACAGAGGAGAAAGCCTGCTCCATGGTATGCATGACTAGGTTATCCCAGGAGCCCACAGTAACCAATATGTCATTCTTGCGTTGGCGAGAATCCAGCATGTGCAGGAAGAGTTCCCCAAAAAAGGTATTAAAAAAAAAAAAAAAAAAAAATGATTGTTAGAGAGGAGGGGGGTAGAAATGGAATGACAGAAAGTAAGTAGGGAGGGTGAAGGTCCAAATTAAAATGATTTTAAAGTTATAACTGATTACTTCCTGTGCACTTGCACTGCACTCTTATTGGTTGCTTTCTTTGATGCTCTCTGTGAACTACAGTACACCTTCATTCTGTGTTATGAAGATGAGGCGAGGGGGAGGTGTTCTGCAGTCCTAAAACATTTCCTTTCTTAGGGTGAAAATGCCACTCCTCCATAGATAAAACTAAAATGAGTATTATCGATCTAAGACAGGAAGGGTGTTATAGGCAGAATCACCAGTTGAAACGAAATGGGGAAAACAGCATTCGAAAGCTTCAGTATATCTTTTTATTCATTTAATACACTTTAAAGTAGATGCAACCCTAATCACTGAAATCTCACAGCTGATCAACATGTTCTGTTGTTTTCAATCTCTGTATTTCTTCGTTTTCATTAGAATAAACCTGGCAATCCTGCCATGGAGACCTTTCATTACATGCTGCTGTTATGGGGTGACAATGGTCTTTTAGTAGTGCCCCTGCATTGTTACCTTGTCACCTGTGTCCTTGGTGGAAGCTATCAGTGGCCATGCTCATATGCATTGCACGGGTATGGTCCACCATGGTGACTATTTGGAAGCTGATCCAGTGTTGCAATGCAGTTGCTGGGGCGAGTACATGATGATGGGAAAGGGCTAAAAAAAAAAGGCTTGAGGTGGTCAGAACTGAGATTAAAAAAAAAGGGAAAAAAATATTCAATGAATTTTTTTTCTCTTCTAAATTATGTGTATGATAATGTCATCCTGTTATGGTTTTGATCTATTTACAGAAAGTGGATACTGTTTAGTAATGGTGAATGGTTCCTGCAGACCCTTTGACTAATTTTACCAATTCATGTAAAATGCAGGGCAGACTCTGGGTATGGGGATTGTGGATACTCAATTTATTCTTGCTTTATTTATATACAGTATCTCACAGAATTTACACTGTGATACAAGCTGTACACTCACTACTTTACATTGTCATTTCTTCAGTATTGCCACATTAAAGGATAGAATAAAATAGTTACAAAAATGTGAGGGGTGTACTCACTTCTGGGAGATACTGTGTGTGATTTGATGAGTTTTATCTAGTTTATCTAGCTATCTGATTGCTATTGGTTACTGTACTTTGTACATGAAAGGTGTTTTCTGCTATCACACGAAGTTAAGTTAAAGGATAAGTTCACCTTTTGGACAAAAATAATAAATGCACATTTGTTTGCAGGTAAAAAAAATGTGCATTTATTATTTTTGTGTACAGGAGCCTGGGAAGCATTGCACCAGAGATCAGTAGATCGCTGATGCCTTGCAGGTCTCCTGCAGACCTGTCAGAATATCTGCTTGCTGTACGGGATGTTTCAATGAACTACAGAGATGCTCCACAGCACTGTGGTAGTTAATTGAAAACTACAAGCCCACAGCCACTAAGGCTGTCGGGACTTGCAGTGCATTCATTCATGGAAGTCCATAAATGAATGACGCGACCATGTGGGCGGAGTCCCGCACGGCAGTGCTGTTTTCAAATCTGACAAATTTGAGGGGGGGGGGGGGGTCGTGGCAGCTATGGGAACATGTTTCATGATCCACCCAAAAAATGGGTGGAACATGTAACATGTTCCTAAAGGTGAACTTATCCATTGAGGTGTTACTAAACCCACAAAAGTAAAATCAGTCTGTATATGCAGTAAAGCACGCTTGTTATACTCACTGTGGAACCTAAGGGGTTAATCCTCTGCATTGTGTAAAAAGGCTGTTTGATCCTGTCTTCTCTGCCCCTCCTCTTGTTTAAATGTCCACGCCGATAAGACAGACTGAACCCGTAGGCCTTCTGCACATGTTCAGTTTAGTGTGTATTGCTAGAGAGTTTTTTTTTTTTCTTGGGAGAGTGCATGTGATCAGCACAGGGCCAATCAGCACTGTCCAGACAGAGGTCAGGGGTTTTGCATCCTCCTAGAGCAGAAATAAAACTCCTACAAGCTTTAACCAGTGCTCAGCTGAAGTCACAAGACTGCTATATACTGCTGATGAGAAAAGATATTTAGCAGTTTATATTTACTAAAATAATTGTAATTCCATGTTCTGTGTACTCTGGGAGACCAGATATAGTGAATGCAGGGTCCGGGGAGACCAGATATAGTGGATGCAGGGTCCGGGGAGACCAGATATAGTGGATGCAGGGTCCGGGGAGACCAGATATAGTGAATGCAGGGTCCGGGGAGACCAGATATAGTGAATGCAGGGTCCGGGGGAGAGCGGATATAGTGAATGCAGGGTCCTGGGAGACCAGATATAGTGAATGCAGGGTCCGGGGAGACCAGATATAGTGAATGCAGGGTCCGGGGAGACCAGATATAGTGAATGCAGGGTCCGGGGGAGAGCGGATATAGTGAATGCAGGGTCCTGGGACCAGATATAGTGAATGCAGGGTCCGGGGAGACCAGATATAGTGGATGCAGGGTCCGGGGACCAGATATAGTGGATGCAAGGTTCGGGGAGACCAGATATAGTGAATGCAGGGTCCGGGGAGACCAGATATAGTGGACGCAGGGTCCGGGGAGATCAGGTATAGTGGATGCAGGGTCCGGGGAGACCAGGTATAGTGGACGCAGGGTCCGGGGAGACCAGGTATAGTGGACGCAGGGTCCGGGGAGACCAGGTATAGTGGACGCAGGGTCCGGGGAGACCAGGTATAGTGGACGCAGGGTCCGGGGAGACCAGGTATAGTGGACGCAGGGTCCGGGGAGACCAGGTATAGGGGACGCAGGGTCCGGGGAGACCAGGTATATAGGGGACGCAGGGTCCGGGGAGACCAGGTATAGGGGACGCAGGGTCCGGGGAGACCAGGTATAGGGGACGCAGGGTCCGGGGAGACCAGGTATAGGGGACGCAGGGTCCGGGGAGACCAGGTATAGGGGACGCAGGGTCCGGGGAGACCAGGTATAGGGGACGCAGGGTCCGGGGAGACCAGGTATAGGGGACGCAGGGTCCGGGGAGACCAGACATAGTGAACGCAGGGTCCGGGGAGACCAGACATAGTGAACGCAGGGTCCAGGGTTTAGTAACACTTTAAGCCGGCCATAGTTGGAACAAATCTCGATCGGTTCAATCCATCTATGAGCATGCTGGTTGTACTGAAGCCAATTCATTGATTGACTTCCATAAAACCAGGTTCTCTGATCTTTTTTCAATACGATCACTGCCTCCGGCTATAGTCGCTAGCAGTAATTATTCTGTTCAGCTGGCAGGGAAGGATTCCCACAATAGTGCTGTGGGAGGGATTCCCCTTGGCCCACCCATGGTTGCAGGAAAGAAAATTGTATTATCTATGGCTTGCCTAAGCCTGATGGAGTCAAAGAGTAAATTGTGCAATCAGTTCTGATGCAGCTGTGAGACAGTCTGGCCATGTGTGACCTGGAAGCAATATCACATCGCCTGCTGTGATTTAAAGGAAACCTTTCTTGGGGGATATACATATGCTGCCATTGGTAACCTTGTCCTGAAAATACTGGTTTTCTTACATGAAGAAGGTAAATGCTTATCTTTCCTGCTGCCAGTGCTGCCGAACATCACTCCGAGTCAGAGAAATCATGCCCTGAGGTCCACTGGGAGACCGACACTACTGGGAGTGCCGATCTCCTGGGTCACTTTCAGCACTTACTGGTTCCTCCTGCTGACCTTCATACATTACAGTAGTGGTAGTAACGTAGAGGTCACCCAAAGGTAACAAACACCATCGCTCTAATCTTCATGCTCCACATGTAAAACGGTATCTGTCACTTGGTGAGGTGCAGCCCTCTAAAGATGGGGGAGTCTTGATACTAGCAAACAAAAAAACACAAAAGGGTGCACTCTCCTCGTGCATTAACGTGGTTACAAATGAATTTATTAAAAACTTAAGAAATGGATACTCACAAAACGAATGTAAAAACGAACATGAAACCAAATGGGTCAATGTCACACGACTGGAGTCCTGTGATGGTGGTGCCTGGTGGGAAAAACTGACGCGTTTCGGAAGTTGAACTCCCTTTTTGTAACCACATTAATGCAGGAGAGTGCGCCCTTTTGTGTTTTTTCCGTTAACGTAGAAATCAGCAGGAGGAACCGGTGAGAGCTGAAGCAGACCCAGGAGATTGACTTTCTTGGAACTGTTGGTTTCCCAGTGGTCTTAGGCAGGCCATAGATGGGTCGAAAATCGGCCGAAAATTCATCCAAAAAAATAATCGGCTGATTTTCGGATCGTTGGTGGGTGAATTTGTCGGCCGTTTTTCGTGATTTTGACACATTTTTTTTAATTCGTCATGTTGGGGAAAAAAACAGCCGATTTTGTCGATCGGCCAATTTTCATGGGCAAATCGGCCAATCTTTTTACCGATTAAAAAAAATGCGCATGAGCCGTGACCTACAAGAAGTAAGGAGAAGAAGGAAAAGAAGATGAAGACAAAGAACAAGAAGAACATCTGTATCTATTTGTATCCATTTCGGATACAGATGTTTCTATTCGGATACAAATAGATACAATGTTGCAACCGCAATACTTTTAAATGTCAAAAATAATAGCGGAGTGTCCCTGCAGAGAACTCCTCTATTATATTTGACATTGAAAAGTATTACGGTTGCAACATTGTATCTATTTGTATCCAAATAGAAACGGATACTTTTAAATGTCAAATATAATAGCGGAGCTCTCTGCAGGGACACCGCTATTATATTTGCCGGCCGGACAAAAACCAGCCGATTTTTACCAATGGTGGTAACGTCGGCCGATTGAACGACCGATTTTTTGTTTTAAAAAAAAAAAAAAAAGGCTGGTTTTCGCCCTGTCTATGGCCTGCCTAAAGGAGTTGAATTCACAGCAGCGGAGCTGTGTTTGGTAGCCCCACAAAGCATTGATATTTACAGCTTTTTTTTTTTTTTATTTATTACAAGTCAAGTTTTACTGACTATCTTTATGTACAGTACAAGGGTCACTTTAATGTGATTTTTTTTTTTTTCTTCTCTCTCGCACTCAGCTTTATGTGTCATCAGATAGTCGATTTAACACACTGGCAGAGCTGGTCCACCATCACTCCACTGTGTCTGACGGACTAATTACCACACTGCACTACCCTGCTCCAAAACGCAACAAGCCCACTATATATGGTGTGTCGCCCAACTACGACAAGTGGGAGATTGAGAGGACGGACATCACTATGAAGCACAAGCTGGGTGGCGGTCAATATGGAGAAGTTTATGAGGGTGTGTGGAAAAAGTACAACTTGACTGTGGCGGTAAAGACTCTGAAGGTAGGAATTTTTTCTTTGGCCCCTGTCATTGTAACTATGGAGGAATAACGTCTATTTTTCCGTTCAGCATTGTGAATCAGCAGTACATTGGTGAGCATGTGTGCCTTGCTGTTTTGGGTTCCTGAACCTAGTTCCAGTAATAGAGCTTTATGTCCTGTAACTTGTTTGTGGGGGTTTCCTTCCATGCTATGGTTTCCTCTTGCAGCTTCACTCTTTCATTACCAGAGGACATCGATGCCAAGACCAAACTTAGCAGTGTCAGCATGCATCTGTTCACGTGACAATAAGGACTTGTTTACACTAGGACTGCCGCTCCCCTGAAAAGTGATCCATGCTTGCATCGCTTTTCAATGACATTTGACAGGCATTGAGCGATGTGATGTCACCTCCTCACTTCCTGTTTTAACCCCATAAATGCCACACTACCATGCCGCAACCGCATGCATTTGTGAGACAATGGTAGCAGTGCACAGTTCACTTGTATGGGTCTGGTTCAACCTCTGATGAAGTGCCATTGTACGAAAGGCCTCAGGAGGAACCAGACAGTACGTGACACTGCCGCCGGAGCCTGGAGGAAGCCCGGCGGCCATCTTAACTCTGGTCAGTGTGATACATTACTGGATGTCATTACACTCTGCATACTGCACTTTATGTGAATAAAGCTTTGAACCTACTACACTATGGGTACCTGTTTTTTGGCTCCTATATGGAGCTATTAAGCCTGCAGGTTACCCCCAGCAACTCATCATCTCTAGAGGAACAGGAGCATATAGGCTGAGCACCATACCTACCTTTAAGGGGACCTTTGGATCCAACAGACAACTCACCGCAGCTTGATGACTACACCATAGGGGATAACCTCACCTGGATTGACCTGCCCATCTACAGATACCTTAATGGTTATATCACTTGCGCTTTTCTTATGCGCTTCCGTGTGAGTGCGCACTTTATCTATTGGTTGGCGTCACAAGCTTGTCTGCTGTCGTTTTACCATCTTAAGGAGCTGTTCTCATATCCATCTGTATTTGAACTTTATTAGAGGATATTATTGCATACCTATTATGGCTTATCATTATATACTATAATACCATTATTCATAGCGCTACACCTCATATTATTTCTGGTCTTCCCATGCTATGGTTTCCTCTTGCAGCTTCACTCTTTCATTACCAGAGGACATTGATGCCAAGACCAAACTTAGCAGTGTCAGTATGCATCTGTTCACGTGACAATAAGGACTTGTTTACACTAGGACTGCCTCCCCCTGAAAAGTGATCCATGCTTGCATCGCTTTTCTGTGACATTTGACAGGCATTCAGGGAGGTGATGTCACCTCCTCACTTCCTGTTTTAACCCCATAAATGCCACACTACCATGCCGCAACCGCATGCATTTGTGAGACAATGGAAACAGTGCACAGGTCACTTGTATGGGTCACTTTTCTGTTATTGGTTGAGCTGGATAGACTTGTGCCTTTTTGTCAACCAGACTAACTATGTAATTATGCAATGTTTGGCATGTGGTAGTTTCCTGAGGGGGTAATAATTCCGGCTTTTACCTTTACAGCTTAAGGGGGACCAGTTGTGTGTGTGTGTGTGTGTGTGGGGGGGGGGGGGGGTGGGCTCAGCCATGTGTTTTTACTGTCCCCCAACCGCAAGTGTAAACGAACCCTAACTCTTGATTTCCCTGCCTGAATAACTTATATATATTGAATGTGAAAAAAAAAAAAAAAATTATTTTCAATGTTGTATTTGTTTCTGACAGCTACAGTATCAAACAGAGGTGCACTGCAGGCTGGATAGGATCATAAAAGAAAAACTGTGATCACTATAATTGGCTGTCATGGTGATGTTTTGTTTAGAGACCACACTGATTGGTTCCTGTTAGCTAGAGGACTTGCTGCTATCACAGACAGTCGGGGTCTGAGAACTAGAAATGTGCATGGAAGTACACTCCTACTTAGCTGCAAGGTTAATGTTCTTATGGCACAGAAAGCCGTACCCTTTCGGGTTACCAGTCCGATTGCCAATGTCCGTGGGCCAGGCATGTTGGGTTCTTGCAGACCAGAATCCAAAAAAGGTTTAAACTCCTCTCAGCATACAGCCTCAGTTTAACATACTTCAAGAGGATGTGGGCTAACATTGTTTGTAGGTTTAATTGTAGCCTCAGGACAACACACCTGCTGTGTGCCAAATGGGGAATTATGCAAGCTGACAGTGTTCAGCAGCTCCTTACCCAGAGGCTTCATTGAAGCGCAGGTCTCCTTCAGCTGCTCG